ACCCCTGTACGTTCCCAAGACTGTAACTCTTTATGAGAGTAGAAAGCCCTTTCTTCCTCGGAGCATCTGGCGGTTTCGAACTGCTCAGACCTTGCAGTTAGCAGCCCAACATGTAACCACTACACTGCCAGGGCTCCTAGTTCAATAAATTCCTAAACACATGTTCATTTTTAGCTCTATGAGAGTCATGATTTTACCCTTTTCGGAAATTTTTGTGGCACCAATGGTGGATTGGAACTACCAACCTTTTCAGTAGTAGCCACTATGTGGGCCCTCTGCAATTGGCCCTCAGCACCAAGCCACAAGAGGGCTCTATGCTCTAGAAACCTGGAGTTCCCAATCAAAAAGCTCACTACCATTGAGTCGATTCCAACAGCGACCCTGTAGGACAGGGTAGAACTGCCCTTGTGGGTTTTCAAGAGTAATTCTCAGGGGAGTAGAAAGCCTTGCTTTCTCCAGAGTAAGTGGTGTTTTCAAACAGCTGATCTTGCGGGGTACCTATGTAACCACTTCACCACTAGGGCTCCTCAACATCCCATCTAGGTAGGCTTTAGAAAAAACAAAACAAAACAAAACAAAACCGAACAAAAAATCTTATCATTCTGTGCTCACCTTCCTGATACGATTGCTGAAGACAAATGGGTGCATAAGCAAATGTGGTAAAGAAAGCTGGCGGTGCCCGGCTATCAAAAGATATAGCATCTGGGGTCTTAAAGGCTTGAAGGTAAACAAGCAGCCATCTAGCTGTGAAGCAACAAAGCCCACATGGAAGAAGCACACCAGCCTGTGTGATCACAAGGTGTCAAAGCATCAGGCATCAAAGAACAAAAAAACAAATCATTGTGAATGAGGGGGAGTGCAGATTGGGGACCCAAAACTCATCTGTAGGCAACTGGACATCCCCTTACAGAAGGGTCTCAGGAGGAGACAAGCCAGTCAGGGTGCGGGGTAGCAACAATTAAATATACAACTTTCCTCTAGTTCCTAAATGCTTCCTCCCCACCCCACCCCCACTATCATGATCCCAATTCTATCTTACAAATCTGGCTGGACCAGAGAATGTACACTGGTACAGTTAGGAACTGGAAACACAGGGAATCCAGGATGGATGATCCCTTCAGGACCAGTGGAGAGACTGGCGATACTGGGAGGGTGGAGGGAAGGTGGGGTGGAAAGGGGGAACCGATTACAAGGATCTACATATAACCTCCTTCCTGGGGAACGGACAACAGAAAAGTGGGTGAAGGGAGGCATTGGACAATGTAAGATATGACAAAATAATAATAATTTATAAATTATCAAGGGTTCAGGGGAGAGGGAGGGGAAAAATTAGCTGATACCAAGGGCTCAAGTAGAACGCAAATGTTTTGAGAATGATGATGGTAACAAATGTACAAATGTGCTTTAACACAATGGATGGATGTATGGATTGTGTTAAGAGTTGTATGAGCCCCCAATAAAATGATTTAAAAAACAAAATCCCCATTCTGTTGTCCTCATTGGTAAGGTGCCAGCCAGTAATTTCCAACTCATAGCCACCCCATGTGATAGCATAGAACAGCCTCAAAACCTCTCATGGTTCCTCCAGGGAGCGGCTAGTGGGTTCAGAATGCCTCCCTGTGGATTCCCAGCTGAGCACTGAACCACTGCACCCTGAGAGCACGTCACGCACTCGTTATGCTCATTTGTCAAATGTGGAAACTGAGTCGGTGCAATTAAATAATTTACATAAAGCCTGACTATCGCCTAACCCCCCAAAAACAAAACAACCCAATCGCCATCATGTTGATTCTGAATCAGAGACCCTATGGAGCAGAGCACACCTGCCCACTTTGGACTGCTGACACTCCGTATCTTTACAGGAGCAGAAAAGGCCACACTTTTCTCCCTCTGAGCGACTTGTACATTTGAGCCACTGACCTGGTGACTCGTAGCACAATGTGTAACCCACTCGGCCAGGAGGGCTCCTCTGGACTGACTAGAGGAGTGATAGTCTTCTTTCAAACACCCTCGGCCTGAGAGCCAAGTGCTTCACACAGTTCGTTCATAGAACGAACTCCAATGGAGACTGAATTCATGTTGAGACTCAAAATGGAGTTAGAGCTCCCACTGTAATCCACCGCCTCCCCAAAATCAAGTGCTTTAAAATTTAAGCTCTAAGACAAAATAATTAAGTGCTCACACAGGTTGTAAATCTCATTAAGCCAGTTGGAATCTGCATTTTGTTATTTGCATCACAAGTTGTCCTAATAACCTACACCTGGCAAAGAAGGGCCATTAGGATCTGGGCTCTGCCTGGTTCCTGGTCACATCGCCCACCACGCCCCTAATGCCTCCTCCTTGGCGTCCGCCACATTCAATGTCCTGACAGTCCTTCTCATCTCTGTGCTTGGAATACTTCACACATCCTTATCTATACGGAAAATTCCTACTCCTCCCTCAACTCTAATTCAATGTTCATTGGACATCCCCTCTCATACTCCTGAACAAAAGTAAAAGCTTCCTGCCCTGGGCCCTCCTGTCACCCAAAGGCTCCTTGTTTTCTAAATGTTCCTTACTTGGACCCTGGAAATGGAGGGAGAAATGTGAAGATCATCCTAAGACAAAAATATTCATGGAGGAACAAGTCCTAATTTTAGACCACGTCTCTGGACTAAATAGTTTGTGTTCTGCCTCTAATTCTAAAACTTGGGGTGCAAACCCACCCACCTTACAACCAAGGTCTCAGTGCCATGGAAGAAAGGCCTGTCAATCTACTTCCATAAAGATTGAGGCCATCCCCCCAGAAGAATTTGTTTCAGAGGACAGCACTGAATCTGCAGCTCAGGGAGAGGGGCATGTCTGATCAGAGCACATGGGAGCAAATGAAGGGGGAGGAAAAGAGAGTGGAGCACATCCTGGCCCACCAGTCTTGATGATATTCCCGCTCAGAACAGCCAATCCACAGAGAGGACCATATGGCTGGCCCCTCTATGAGACACGACATCCCTCACTGACCTATAAACCTACAGGGTACAACACTGGAGACAGTGTGGGAATTGCGCCTGATGTGATCCCACCACACCAAGGCAAAACACTAAGGGCGTGCAACAGAACAGCAAGGGGAACAGCAATGAAGTCCCCAAGGAATACCAAAAATAGATTTTGGGGCTAGGGCGTGGCACCCCATCAGACTCGACCAGAAAACACTCCTAAAGGACAACAAACAGTCCTTGAACTAACTAAAGCTTTTCTTTTTTGGTGGTGGTTGGTTTTTTGTTTTACTGGCTTTTTGTTGTTTTCTTTTGTTGCTTGGTTTTGCTGTCTTGTTTTTGTGCATATTATCTCCGTTAGAGGTCTAAATAAAGGCATGGACATATGTAAATACGGAGTTGTAGCGTGGGGTTGGGACTGGCCACAGTTCTGATCGATGGGACAGTGTGGGGAGCAAGGGGAAGATTATACCATTCTGTTTGCCAACTCAGGGTGCTGGTGTAGTCCTGGGCAAGCAGGGCCAATTATCAGGTTGCTGCCCTGATTGGAATGTTGCTTGTAAAAGTTCAAAATGGGCAGACCCCTTTCTGTCTGTCTCCTTGCTCACAGTTTTGTTTCTTCGAGTCGGTATCTGAATCACTTCTCTAGCAGCTTAGGGTTCCAGGGTTAACATCTGTAACCTGTTTCATTTGTTTCGCTTGGCTTTGTTGTAGAGCAGTGGTTCTCAACCTGTGGGTCGCGACCCCTTTGGGGGGTCATACAACCCTTTCACAGGGGTTGCCAAAGACCATCGGAAAACATATAATTCCCATGGTCTTAGGAACTGAGACGCCGCTCCTCTATCTGTCTCCAGGCAGGTCTGCCACATGCAGATATGCTGATCTGGTGAGAAAGAAACTATCTTACCCTTCGTGCTGACATTGGTTTTTTTTACACATACTATCGCAAAATGTAGCAATGTCGCTTACTGTTGTTATAGTAAGACTGTTACCCAGGCTACACCATGCTTCAAGACAAAATTTCACTTATTTGTCATTAAAAATAAATATTTCACAATATATAATTGCCTATTGGTTTGTGATTAATCACTATGCTTTAATTATGTTCAATTTGTAACAATGAAAATACATCCTACATATCAGATATTTACATTACGATTCATAACAGTAGCAATATTACAGTGATGAAGTAGCAACGAAAATAATTTTATGGTTGGGGGCTCACCACCACATGAGGAACTGTATGAAAGGGTCGCGGCATTAGGAAGGTTGAGAACTACTGTTGTACAGGGTCTAGGCAGCTTTTTGCCTAGTCCACCATCTTGCCATAAGTTCCGGTCTGATATAATTTTGAAGCAAAGACTAGGATTCTAAGGTTCAACAAACTCTCTAATCCTTTCTCTACTGTCTTGGAAAATAATCTATTAGTTATCACTGCTGGATAACGTATTACCAGGAAACAAAGTGGCTTTAGAGAAAAAATATTATCTCATCATTTGTGTCCCTGAAACTCGGAAGTCATTTAGCTGAGCTGTTCTGGCTTAGGGTTCCTAATGCTTATCAGTCAAGATGTTTTCAGGAATCTGAAGGTTCGACCAAGGCTGGAAGATCCGCTACCAAGATGGCCCTCCATATGGCTGTGGCAAGAGGTCTTATTTCCCCTTCAGAGACCTCTCATTGGGTCTCTATGACCTGGAGGCTGGCTTCTCTCAAGTAGAGGATACAAGAGGACAAGAGGGAAGCCACAATATACTTTATGACCGAATCCCCAGAAGTCAAAACGATCATTTCCTCGATAACCTACTGACTACACATCAGCCTTATTCAACGCGTAGCTACTGCCCACGGTACTACCCAAGGGTGTGAATACAAGCCAAGTGGGGATCATTGGTGGTTCTCACAGAAGCTGGCTGCCACACAGGGGCAGCCTGTAAACCTCGTGAAAGTCTTTCTATGCAACCATAATCCTCTTTTCACTTTAGCAATTCTCAAGTTACCTAAGACACCAAGAACGTCTCATTTCAGAAATCCTGGGACAATGATTTATAAGTCAGGGGCAGAAGAAAGTGAACAGGATGAAAATCTCCTCAGGCTGACTTTTGGGGAAGGGAAGCAGCAGGCCTCCCCAAGGCTCAAGCACACAGAATATGAAACTGTTGGTAGATTAATTCTCCCCATTCAACCCCCAAGAGGTTTGATATTCAGTTAGCCTGCTTGTGCCATTCCTTTTCCTGCTCTAAACCCATCGCAGCCTGTGGAATTTGTGAGTCAGGGCTTCTGCTAAGCACCCAGAACACTGGGACTCTACTGTGATGGTGATTTTTCTAAGAGCCAACCTCTGCAGCACAGAAAGCAGACACACGGATAGCGTTTCCCTAGAAACACTATCAAGAAAATATGGGACTAGATCTCTCTAATCAACTGCAAAGGGAAGGCTTACGTGGAACCACGAGGTGCTGTGTGTGCTCAGGAATGGTGTTTCTCCAAGCTTCTGAAGGACCCTTCGGCACAATGAATTACTGAATGTGGTCCTTCTGGCCTTAGTCTCTTAATTCCTACCAAATGACCAAGTAGGGTTATACAAATGTGAGTTATTTGGGGCCATCCAGAGGATTGAATACCTTGCTGATACTCTAAGTTCGGTCTGACACTTGTGGGGTAGGGCCATATAAATAGGGCCTTTGGAACCCTAACATGAGGATTGGTCAGTTTAGGTTTAAAGTGAGTTATTTTAGACACAGAAGAGGGGCCCTCAATACTATCAAGAAAGAAGAACCAGGAGCAGAGAGCATCCTGTGGACCCTGCAAGCCCTGAGGTGAAGCATGGCACCAGAGATGGTGAGAGACCGCAAAGAAGTGATAGAGAAATGGCGGCAGCAGAAGAAAGAGAAGGAGATAGGACAGTGGACTTCTATCCCACAGAGCAAGAAAGCGGAGGGCCTAAGAACAGGTGGCTTGCTGATTGAATGGGTTGCCTTCAGGCACTTACTGTCAGTGTGGGGAGCCAAGTTTGCCTAACCAAGGAGTTGGAACTGAGTGTCCTTGGGCCGAGGTTGACTGGTGGAGTGGGAAGAGCTACACTTGGCCACGCAGAGTGGGGGCCAATGGGCCATAGGGCTGAAAGGTATATTAACACTTGTCCAAGCAGTCCACGAGGTTGATGACCTGGGCGTGCCTGTTAGCACAGAGAGAGGAGACTGTCCTGACCAAAGCACTGTATCCTGATCCTGAATTGTAACCAGTTCCTTCCCTAATAAACTCCGTCATCGCGAGTACAATCTGTGAGGTTTGTGTGGTCATTCCAATCGGGAGATAGGTAGAGAGAGTTGTGGGAGGTATGGCTATTATCAGGACTGGTGAAAGGCTGGACAACAAAAGCATGCCTGACCTCTGCCTCACAGGAATTCACCTTCCGATTCTTTTCTCCCTTGCAAAGCTAGGTCAGATGCTGACTCCATGCCAGCTTGACAGGCCCTAATCGTCCTTCTCCTCTCCCCCACAGGTGGCCTGCCAGTGTTGAGATTACGGGGGTCATTCTTCCTAGCTGGAAAGTGCCTTCTGTATCCGTTCTTGTACTTCTCTGGGTCCCAAGGACACCATCATCTCTGCTACGGGGGGTCCTTGCTGAGAACAGAGAGAGAGAAAGCATTAACTTATTGCCTTAAAATGTCCACAGAATAACATGGAGCCAAAGTCTGCAAAAGTTATGCCCCAGGCAACTCCATGCCCGATTTCATTATTGCAAGCAGCATAGTTTCAATTTTGTCTTTAATGTTCATGGATGAAAATGGGTCCTAGGAGCCTGTTTTTCCTATATTAAGTAAGCCTTTTATCTGTCTGCCACCCCCAGTAAATAGCAAACTCCATGCAGGTAGGGATCATGTCTGTTTCACTCATTCTGCACTTAGTGTACTTAGCATAATACTTGCCCATAGGATCTCAATACAGACTATTTACTGAATGAACTCAATGAGGGAAGGGACCAGGCTTTCATCTATCTTTGTATCTCACCAGCTGTCCACTGAGGGCCATTCGGAGGAGTTTCATTATGTGACTGTGTTTGGTGCCTTCCAAACCATCTGAGAGCTTCTTCAGTTCTCCATTCAGAATATCCTGAGTTAAGTTCATACTGGGTCTTTGTAAAAGCCTAGAAGACAAGTCCATAAAGAGCCTGCATGAGCCAATGGCCAGGCGGGTGGGAGGGAGAGCTTCAGAAGTTATGGTACAGCAACAACACAGGCACTGCAAACAGTGCTCGACTTGCATCAGAATCAAGGTTCAATGTAATTTTAGGGAAAAGTGTATAAACTAATATTTGTTATATCCAGAAGCTCAGGGATACTACAGGAGATCTCAAAAGAAACTTAGGAATGAGTTAGACTTTGGATGGAAGAAGAGAATTCTTGGAAGAATTAGCTGACGCACAACTTTAAGATGGCAGGGTGTGGAGTCATTTCCTTGGAAAGGGAGTAAATGAGGGCAGTGAGAAATCAGGAGACACCAGGTCCAGTAATGCCCTGCCTCCAACTGGCTGGGAAATCTTGGGAGAATTATTAAACATTCTTTGGCCACAAGGTGAAGCATTAGGATCTAAAATCTAATGGTCAACAACCATGCTAGTTTTTGTGGCAGTTTGACTGAGATCTCCCAAAACCATGCTTGAGTTTCAAGAAGAATCTCCCACTTTGTTGCAATGGACTTACCAAATTTGTCTCATCCCTAATTTTGAGTTAGAGGAACAGACAGTAGTGGGAGGGAGGAATTTTCTGCAGCAAACTCCCACTTTCCCCAAGTTATTACCTGAGATACAAGATTGAAGACATTGGAAAGGAGCACTGGAGATTTTCACAGGTGCAACTGGTTCAGGGGACCAATTCTGACACCTCTGTTCATGTCATTGTCCAGACACTTTCCTTCCAGCAAGTGTAAATGTGGAGCTCTACAGGTGCTGGCTATGGGATTTCTAAATGATTTGGGAAAACAGCCCTTTGGTACAGGTTTCCTTATTGCCAGTATTTGAGTTTCAACTTACCATATATACTCGAGTAAAAACCAACCCGAATATCAGCCAAGGCACCTAATTTTACCAAAAAAACTGCATTAAAAATGTGCTGAAAAACTCGGCTTATACACAAGTATGTACGGTAAGTTAAGAACACCTATCCCTATTACATCATTTTATTGGGCCACATAAAGACTGTTATTTAATAAACTGAGGATATAAAATAACTAAAACTGTATAAGTAGTATGGGGAATGGAAAATGGATCTGCTTTGTAAATCTCCCAACTCACAAAAAGTTTTTTTTTTTAAAAAAGGCAATGTGGGAGAAGTAGACGTTCTCCCAATGTTGTTGTGGGGGATCAGGCTGTCAAAGAGCTGGTGAGAGTGACAGGTTCCAGGCAGCCAGCAAAGGCAGCCTGGACACACTGGAGGTGACCTTGCATTTGGCATGAACCCAGAAAGGACTTCTAGAGATTTGGTGGCTTCTGAACATAAGAATGTTAGCTTTCCTGCCTCGGTGGGAGGCTCAGAATGTTTCCAAGTCAATTGCCATAGCGGAGATTTGGAGCTAGGGATTGGGTGGTGGTAAATTAGCACTTGTTCACCTACTGTGGAATGTCTTAAGAGCTTATTAGGACTGCTGAGGATAACCCTTGGGAACTTATCCTGCAAATATAATTACAGAAACATTTAACGAGTTATTAATAGCAGCACTATCTGTTATAGCAAAACTTGGAAACAATTCAAATATAAAAAAGCGCCAAACCAAATTCACTGCCATAGAGTAGATTGTGACTCACAGTGGCCCTATGGACAGGGTAGAACTGCCACTGTGAGTTAGTTCCTAAGACTGTTCTCTCGTTCCGGGAGGAGAAAGCCTCATTTTTCTTTTCCGTGGAGCGGCCGGTGGTTTTGAACTGCTGACCTTGTGGTTAGCAGCCCAAAACATAACGATGATGCCACCAGGGCTCCCAAATGTCTATATATAGATAGACCAAAAACCAAACTCACTGCCATTGAGTCAATTCTAACTCATAGAGACCCTATTAACTAACTTAAAAAGACCCAATTCTAACTCAGAGAGACTCAGAGAGACAGGGAGAGGATGAGATAAACTAATATGACTAATATGGTAACATGGTACAATAAAATAGGTGTTGCAAGAGAACAAGGTAACATGGTACAAAAAAATAGGTGGGCAAGAAAGCAAGGGCAAGAAAGCAATCTAGTAGATTGTTCTCAAATTACTAGAACAATCTAAAGGCAGGGGAGTGGGGACGGAGGGGAAAAAAGGAGAAGCTGATGCCAGGGGCTTGGGTGGAGAGCAGATGTTTTGAGAATGATGAGGGCAATGAATGTACAAATGTGCTTTACACAATTGATGTATGTATGGATTGTGATAGGAGTTGTATGAGCCCCTAATAAAACGATTAAAAAATACATATATATATATATATATACACACACATATATATAATTAGGATTTTTTTTTACCACATGCATGGATTCTTCCATTTCATTATCTGTATAATAACAACAACAATAATAAATAATAATATATTGAAGGCTTCCAATTTCAGGCACTGCCCAAGCACTTTACACAGATGAACCAGCAGTAAAGAATAGTAGTCAGACCTATCGTCTCTAGAGTCTGTCAAGGTTTGAATCCCTGCTCCTTCCACTTGCTGGCAGTCTGGGACTCATTGCCTAATTTCTCTGGGAGGAGAAGAAAAACTAAGTCTTAGGAATATGTTTTTGGCCCCACCATGCCCGTGCTTCAACCTTGCCCTCCTTTGAGCTTTTGCAATTGTTTAAACCAATCACTCCCCTTTGTTTAAGCTCAAGTTTGCTGTCTTTTCTATTACCTGTAACCAAACCACATGAGTTCCAACGCTTTTGTCACTAAGGAAAGAGTATCATATCCACTCTATGGATGAGGATATAGAAGCTCCAACTGAAGCCACCTGGCCAAGGTGAAAACAGCTGGTCAGCAAGTGGCAACGCTGGAAGGGAAGCTAGTTTGTCCACCTCCAGAACCATGGAACCACCGTCCACAGAGACTGGGACCCCGCCTCGGTGACATTCTCCCCCAGAGTTGGCCCATCAGAAATCGTTTCACTGAGAACATTCTTCCAGCCCCAAGCTCTGCTGGGAGTCACCAGCCAAGCCCTAGAAAGAGGGAGAAAGAGGGAAGGGAGTGGGGGACCAGGACACCGACATGCACCGAGACTGCGACACTCACCCAAGCACCCGCTTGGCAACCTCCTCTGCCTTCTCTGAGATGGCACTCAATTGTGCCCGGTCCACAGCAGGGCGTGTCCACAAGTAGGAGTACACTGGGGACACCAAGTCCTGCAGGCGGCAGATGTGACCCTGGGGGAAGAAGCAGTCACCAAAGGCACTGGGGCAGGACTCTGCACACAGGGAAGAGGGAGGAATGGGAGTGCCCACCCACTCTCCTGGCCACCCAGGCTCTCCCATACCACACCTGTCTCAGCAGGATGATCCTCTCCAGGTACAATGGGTCGAGGACAGCTCTGTCTTGCAGCTGGCTCCCAAACTCCTCCTCCACAAGTGACCGCAGCTTTTCCACCAACTGGTGCCTCTGGGCCTTACTGTTCACCAGCCTCCGGAGGTGCAGCCTGCAGGCATGGGCAAGCGACGGCCCTGAGTTGGCTCCCTAGCTCACCCCAAACCCCTCTCCAGTATGAGAGCCCTTCCTGACAGAGGCCAAAAGAATTCTCTACCCTTAAGAGAAGGAAAGGGGTCGCAGCCAGGTTAGCAGAGGAGAGCCAGAGTCACATACAACTAGAAGGCATGCTGTTTTCAGTGTTTAAAACATCAGCTGACATTTTAAATGAGGAGAAATGACATTACAAAATAAAATCGGTTTCTCTTTCTCATGAGGCCAGGAAAAGCAGCTATCATTATGGAACATTTTGAGCAAAGGACAGATTTCAAATTCTCAACGGAATTCTTTTATAGATTGTGCAAACAAAGAATTCTTGACACAACTGCCCTGAGACAATCTTTAAACTTTAAGCAAAAAATAGTATCTGAATCAAAATATAGTATCATCCCTAAGTACTGTGGTTCTTTTTTAAAAAAAAAAAAACACTTATATGAGACCAAATGGTCAACAATGAACTTAAACAAAGATGAGAAAGCAAAAAGGCAGGGAGACTAGATCAATGAAAATGGTACAACCAGAGTGGAAATGAGAATGTTCACCCACTGTAATGCAACCAATGCAACCAATGTCACTGAACTACGTGTGTACAAAGTGGTAAATAGTAACTTAAATGACTGGGTAAATATTCAGAGAAATCACTTACAAAAAAACCCTATCTTTGTTAAACCAAAAAATAAAACCCCTCAAAACAAATACACTGCCACTGAAAACCCAACAATAATTTAACTCCATTAGGCAAGAATGTCAGCCTGGAGCATAATGTTCTTTTTAAGATCTACCTACAAGGGATCAAACTGACAACCTAAAAGGCCCCACCGGCAGCTTAGGGAGCCGACAGGGAGGAGGAACAACTCAGAAGAATGGACTCAGTGCCACACACAGCAACTGCTGGACCTGTGCACACTGTTAACTAGCACCGTGACTGTGACACCTATGACCATCTGTACTGCTACTGGCACTGCCAGAGCAGCCATGATTACAGACACGTCTGCAGCTGACCGCTTTGGCTGCATTAAAGCTGTGGGCATCAGCCCTCGAAACCAAAGCCCTGCCTCATCTTCCTTTTAGCTTCCTCTTGTGCTCTGAGGATTTCCCTGTCCTGCCCCGAGATACCGCTATACGTGCAACACACACACACACACACACACACACACACACACACACACACACAGAGCAGAAGTATGGGAAGCCACGATATCCCATTCTAGAGATGTCCGCCACTTGCTAGCTGTGAGCTTGGGTGAGTTATTTGACTTGAACTACCAAATAAATGCCATGAAGCAGTCTTTATGCATTTGTGTCTTGGTTTTCTTATATCAAAAACAATGCAAAAAAAAAAATAGTACCAACTTCATAGATCTGATGGGAGAAGTAGGGAAGGGGAACTCTGGGTGCATGCCAATAAAGCTGTCATGAGAGCATGTCCCAAGAGTAGACCCAAAGAAAATATCAGTGACCTCCAGGTCCCCAAGAGGAACCTTGGCTGCTGGTTTTACTACAAAAGCCTTTCAATTGAAAACTCCTTGGAACGTCAAAGACTTGAAGGACCGCAAAGATGCCATGAAGCAGTCCTTAGGCACTGGGTTGGCTGCGTGGTGGGGGTAATTCTAACATGAAGAGGTCCCTCTCCAGGCTTTGGCTGTTAACAGTCCATGCGCTGAGTGGCCAGAACACGTGGTACCTGCCCTTTACGAAGCACTTGCTAGGTGCCAGGCACTTTCTAGGAGTGCTCACGTGCAACATCTCATTGCACGTAAAACAAGGATCCCAAGAGCGGAGTACATCGCTGGCCTCATTCAGAGAAGAAGACATAGTGGCTTCATGAGGTTAGGTGACTTACTGAAGGTCCTACAACTATTAGGCAGCTGAGCCCAAGGTCAAACTGTGGGTGTGACTCCAGACACGTTACCACTGCACCCTCCCATGTATGGTGTCCCATGATCAGCATGACCCTCTGTGCTACACTGGGGCTCCTCTTACCGGTTGAATTCTGGAAGCTTCTCCAGGTCCAGCAGGGCTGAGTGGCAGGTGATGCGGGTCAGGTCGAACTGTGTTACCAACTCTGGCAAGGTCCTGCCCATCTGGTTCTCTGCAAGTGAGGCAAGCCCAGCCACTCACGCACCTCTCCCCTCACCGCTCCCTGTGGCATGGGAGTCAAAAGACAGGGGCTTCCCAATGCCCAGGTGGCAGGTGAGCAAGCTTTGAGCTCCCCAAGGCGCTTACAGCAGAGGGACTTGGCTTCTAGCCACTCTAGCTCAAGGGCCCGAAGAAGCTTTCTTTTTCAAAAAGGAGTTTGTTACTAAGGCAAAGCTGGTTTGAAAACAGTAAGGGAAACCAACCCTCGTTACGCTCACAAACGTCATCTGTGGAACAGCTTACCCTGCTGCCTGCTTGTGCTGCCTAACATTCTGATTTCTTGCGAAGATCAGCATATTTTACAAGCTCTCTCCATGATTCTCGGGGTGTGTAATGGCTATAACTGTCACATCAGTAGCATCATGGCTAAGCTCTTTCCCCTACTAAGTGGGCTTGGGGCAAGTTATTTGACCTCTCTATGTCTCACATTCTCTTGTCAGCGGTGGGAATATTATGTAGCTACCTCTCCAGGATGAATGAGGATGAAAGAAGGGCAAGACACATCTTCAGATAGCTCCTCAACAGAGGGCTCATCCTATCCCATACCTCCTCAAGGTGTGTGCTCAGGCGAAAGCCTAGGGTGAGGACTCAGTTTAGAATCACCTAGAGTCCTTCTGGACTGGTAATCCTGTTAGGATACACACTTGTAACTACGGTAATAGAACGGTACTACTCATAGCTCATCTGTCACCTTTTGGTGCTTACTGTGTGCCAGGCACTGTGCTGGCCGCTTTCTACTGCTGAGCTCAGTGAACACTGAACTCAGTCTGCCTCATAAGGCAGACATGTACCCCCACTTGGTAGCTGAGGCAACTGAAGCTTGGAGACCATAAGGCAAGAATGATGCCTAGCTTGTTCAGTGTCACAGCCCCTGGCCTTACAACCATGTCAGGCCCATCAATAAACATTTGCTGAAGTACAAGGTGAACTTGCCCAAATTATGCAGTGGGTAGTAGGAAGGCTAAGACCGATGTACAGGTCTGTGTGAGCCACAGCCCACACTCTACCATCTCAGGCAGATGGGTACCTGCAAACCCCGAGCCGCAGTTAGTGATGATGTCCAGCAAAGCATCTGGTAGGAAGCCGGCAGTGGCAAAATGATCCAGGAAGATGTCCCCATGACGCTTGGACAGCTTGCTGCCATCCCTGTTAAGGAGTAGGGGCAAGTGGGCAAAGTGAGGAGGCCGCCAGCCCAGGGCCTGGTAGAGGAGCAAGTGCTTAGAGGTGGAGACTAGCCACTCAGAGCCCCGCAGCACGTGGCTGATGCCCATGTGGTGGTCGTCCACCACGCAAGCCAGGTGGTATGTGGGGAAGCCATCACTCTTCAAGATGACTGGGTCTCCCTCCACGCTAGACACTTCGTGCCGATTCCAGCCATACACCAGGTCCTGGAAAGCTGGGGCCTGCTCCTGCAGACGGAAGCGGATAGCAGGCTTGGGGGTCTGGGCAAGCTTCTGAGCCACCTGTGCCTGGGTCAGGTTCCGACACCGATTATCATACCTGTTGGGAAGCAGAGCGTCATGGTTAGGGGCAGAGGTGAGGGCATGAGCCCTCGCTTTGTTGCTAAGAACTGTGTGGCCCGAGGCAAGTCATCTATCTTTTGGAAGTGTTTCTTCATTCTTGATTGGGGTTAATGATAAGATTCCTGTAAGGGAAAACTCAGTGAATTCCAGAATTTTTTCCCAAAGCTATGTATTTAATTTTTTTTAAACAAAACAATCTTATCACCTTCAAAATACTCTCCATTACACAATATATTTGTCAAATCTGCAATTCCATTCTTGGAAACATTTTACAAACTCATCTGTTTGGATGGCTGACAGCACCTCCCTCATTTTTCTTCACCTCTTCTATGTTCTCATATTGCTGTCCTTTCATGCCCCCCTTCATTTGCGGAAACAAAAAGAAGTTACACGGAGTGAGGTCAAATGAGTAAGGTGCGTGGGGCAAGAGAGACATGCTGTTTTTTGCCAAAAACTGGTGCACTGAGATGGCTATGTGAGCAGGTGCATTGTCGTGGTGGCATAAGCACTCCCCATGCTGCCACAAATCAGGCCTTTTTTGTTGCACACTGTCAGGCTATCTTTCAGACCCTCTAAATGGAAAGCTTGTTTAACAGTCTGACTTGGTGGAATGAACTCCAAATGCACACTGTGAGTCAACATTTTCGTCAGTTTAGGAAGTTGAATGACGTCCACAACGAGGTTTGTCATCCATTGACATTTCACCTTTTTTGAAATGAGAAAACCACTCATACATTTGAGTTTTTCCCATAGCGCTGTCCTTGTAAGCTGTGTTCAACATCACAACAGTTTCTGTGTTTTTCCCAAGCAGGAAACAAAATTTCACAGCTGCATGCTGTTCTCTTAGATCGGCCATTACAAAAAAGATGTTTGAGCGAAACTGCTTTTACAAAAAGATTTACTGTGACCAGAGAGAACCGTCCCAGGCGATGCCATAGGTGCAATAACTCAGAGTGAGTTGCTCAATGCTCGCCTAGAGGACAAAATACATACTATGAAAGCTCCACTCTGCAAAGCACAATTCCAGGTACCCCCACGTAATGTAGTGGAATAGACTCAAATTTTTTGGCATAGACTATTAAGTGCTTCCAGCATAGGCCCTACTTGTTGAAACATCTCAGGTGTATTCAATAAATCCTACCCACTATACTTGTGCGCAGAATTCTGTAGGTACAGGTTTATTATGCTAATGCAACAGTATTAGGGTAAGAGTGTGTCTTGAGTCAATCTCCGCTGAGATATTAAAAGAGTAGATTATGCATAAAGAAGCAAGCAGAGATGGAGTAAGATAGATGTCACCCATGAAAATCAAGAAGCCAAGGATCAGAAGCGGAAGAGAACAAGACTCTTTCCCCCGAGCCAACAAAGAGGGAAAGCCTTCTCCTGGAGTGGTACCCAGAATGAGGGCTTCTAGCCTCGAAAACTGTGAGCAAAGACATATTTTTGTTAACGATACCCACTTGGGGTATTTAGTTAAGAGTGCAGGGAGTCCCACTGCAGTCAACGTGATTCAAAGAACGCGTTTGCTCAGGAAGGAGGGGCTGGGAAACACTTTCTTTTTCTTAGAAAGCCAGAGGAAGTGGAATGAGTGTGTATACCACCCCCCCTCCCCCCCACACACCTTCTTCCCTCCCTCCTGTGAGAAGAGGATGCCTGCAGCTCTTACAACTCAGAGGGGAGGCTGAGCGAGCAAGTCAGAGAGGCCACACTCAAGCCCTGAAGGCTTCCGCTGAAGGTTTTATCTTCGGATGCTCCACCTTTGGCGCTTCCTCCCTTCAAATTCATTTTGTTGCTGCTGAGAATAAATATAGCGAAACACACACCAAACCAACAGAATCTACACGTGCCACTCAGTGACGTCGATGCCATTCTTCCCCTTGGGCAGCCGTTCTCACGCTCCTTTATTGAGTGGTTCCGACCCATGGCCCCGAGGATTCCTAACTACTCCTGTGAGTGGCTGTTGTGCCTTTGATCCATACACAGTTCTTAAAGGGGCATGATGGCCAAAGTAGGCTCTTTTTACTAGTTAAGCTAAACTATGGCTCGGTATTAAGATGACATCAGGGAATACTGTTGGTTTAAAGCTTAAGGCTCTCTCAGGGCTATGGTTTCAGAGGTTCACCCACCCTCAATGGCTCCAGAAAGTCTATAGAGTTTTTAAGAATCTGAAATCTTGCTCTGTATCTCCCCCTACCCCTGCTCTCCACACTGCTAATCACCTTTGATCAACATGCCCAGTAATGGTAACCAGGCACCGTCCCATTCTGGTTCATGGGAACCAGGGGATAGTTGTTCATGGGGGCAATGGGCCATGTATTGCATAGCCACCTCCTACTGCTGACTCTCCTCTTTTCCCTGTTGATCTGGGACAGGAGGCAGCACACTTTTGAGACAGAAGAGCCCATCTTAATCCTCACGACAATTTAAAAAGGAAAATTTAAAGCAATAGTATCAATGAAATTATGATAGATTTATTTTCATTTTCAATTGTATTTCAGAGCCACATGGATGGACTCAAAGAGTCACATATGGCTCTGGGGCCAGTTTTCCAAACCCTGGTCTAGGACAGCGGTTCTCAACCTGTGGGTCGTGCCCCCTTTGGGGGTCGAATGACCTTTTCACAGGGGTCGCCTGACTCTTTTTTTTTTTTTGCCTGACTCTTAACAGTAGCAAAATTATAGTGATGAAGTAACAACAAAAATAATTTTGTGGCTGGGGATCACCACAACATGAGGAACTGTATTAAAGCGTCGCAGCATGAGGAATGTTGAGAGCCACTGCTCTAGGAGAATGGAGACTAAAATGGAAAGGTTTTAAGATCCCAGCACTGAGCACAATGAATCAGGAGGCAGAAAAGAAGCAATAGACATGTTATTAAGTCGATTCATCAAGATGTCTTACGAAATTCTCAACATCCAAACCAAAGAAGCAGCTCCTATGAGGTATCTGCTTAGACATGAGCAGGCTCCGCAGCTGCTCTTTTTGCTGCTGCTGTTAATATATGGGGATACGTTTTTAAAAACCAACAGAACAGAAACGATGGCTACCAGGGTTCCCGGTCACTCCTACAAGGGTTCCTTCCTAAGAAAATATGCTTAAAAGTGTCTCCGTACCAGTGGATAGCTACAGACAAGTTCTCTCTCGGTAGCACACCTATCAACCTGGTGAGGGGACCCTAGCAACAACAACAAAAGCCCCAATTGAAATAGTAGCTGCTGAGGAGATGTGCTGTTGCATTCAAGGCAGACAGGGCAGCTCAGACGGTTCCAGTGACTGCTTTTGGGGATCCTTAAGGCGTGATCTTGACAGATTTTCTTGAAGGACACACAGGACAATCATAGGTGCTTATCATGACAGAATTTTTCCCCATTACGATCCCCAAAGTAACTGCTCATTCTTCAGGGGCAGCACAGGAATCCTGTGAGAATTTCCTTGGGAAACCTTATCTCACCCACCCTCCCGTCCTGATCATACCCCCTTCACGCAAAAAGGTGACCAAACCTGAGAGAAAACCAACCACGGGTGGCACCTGCACTTCCCCTCCAAGACTATATCCAACGTGCACAGCGCACGTGTGCCAAGGGGCCCATGCCAATATCCATTGCCACAGTCATTTTCATAAGGGACAACAAGGTTCATTAATAAGGAACTGCCTAAATGAATTATGATCTAATGGAATACCATGCAAATATAGGAAAAATGACTCCTGGACATTCACTGATCCTCAGGTGAGTAAGTGGGAATGGTAAGTGGTACACCACGTAGAGCGAGGAATAAAAGAAAGCAATACGAGTTGTCAGGTAAAGGGCGCTGGACTCCTGACCCTCAGCAACTGTGAGATGATCGATGTCGTTTACATCAATAGGCCTTGGGGTACATTCTTTTAACGCATCAACAGGCAGCCAGCACACCCGACTTTGGAGAGGCACCCACGACAGGCTGGTTCTTACCGGGGCGTCTGGTGGTTCCTCAGGGCCTCTTTCTTGAGGAGCTCCAGCCGCTGCAGGGAGCAGAAACAGGGGTATGCAGCTCCAGTCTTCAGCAGAGCTTCTGTGGCCTGGGAGTAGAGCTCAAGTCGCTGGGACTGCTGGTAGGGCCCAGCCGGGCCTCCCCTGCGGGGGCTCTCATCTGGAAGGATGCCTGGGACAGCGGTCAATGAGACAATAACTATCAGACAAAAATAAGTAAAATGCACATGGCACTCACTGTCCCGTTTACACCACACGGAATATTCTGATCTGCACAATAATCCCTGGGGGCAGTACTAGTACGGCTCCCTTTTGTAGCAGAAGAGATTTAGCACAGAGAGGTTATGTGATTTGCTCAAGACCACACAGCTTGGTAGCGTAAGGATTCTGACTGAGGTGGATTGGCTCCCTTCCCTTGCTCTCGGCTACACATCCTCTCCATCCCAACTTTCCCTGGGAGGGAGAAAGCAGCACTGGCCTGGCAGCAGCTGACTCAGGGAAAGGTCTCGTGGTTCTGAGCACAGCTCCCAGACCCTGGCTGGACTCTGGCATGAGATTCTGAAACGCACAGGTGTGTGACGGCTAAGCACCCTGCCACACTGCTTGCCTGCTTTGTGATCCCAGGTAAGCCTCAAAGCCACCCTATGCAGTAAGGACTGTATCTTTGCAAAAGGAAATGAGGCACGGAGGTGCTTTGTTCTGTCACTTGGCCAAGCTGAAGTGATAGTGCCAGATTGAAGCTCAGACTAGCCAGCCCTGGATCCATGCCCACAACTACTCCCTGTGATGCGGCTCTGCAGCACACAGCCTTTCCAAGCCTCGGCTTTTTTCTTTGGGAAGTGGGGCTCACAGCCAACGGTGCAGAGGGATTCTGAAGATGAAATACACCAGTTGGTCCAAGGGGGAGCACCTAACACAGCTTCAACAGGTGCTGTTAGACAAGAGTGATGTGTTATATGGGTCGTCCCCGACCTAGAATGGGGTTTCGTTGATCAGTATGGCCCTTCCAGCCGGGATCCCTTATGTCAGTGGTTCTCAACCTTCCTCATGCCGTGATCCTTTATTACAGTTCCTCATGTGGTGGTGACCCCCAACTATAAAATTATTTTCATTGCTACTTCATAACTGTAATTTTGTTGCTGTTATGAATCGGGTGACCCCTGTGAAAGGGTTGTTCAACCCCCAAAGGGGTCGTGACCCACAGGGTGAGAACCGCCGCTCTACAGGAACAGGCAGTCTTATCTTTCACCAGTGAACAGCGGTGGGCTTGAGTAGCTGACCTTGTGGTGAGCAGTGTAATGCTTATGGGCAGCACACCTGGGTATTCTTCTGTTCACACACATTTTTAAAATATACAAATCATTTTTTTTAAAAAGAATTGTCTAAGTGCAGCTCCTCCTCACTTGCATGAGCGTGAAGTTGGGGACTACCTGTATGCCAAACCCAAGGTCCAAGGTCCTTGTGCCACACAGGATGACAAGAAGTGTACACATAGCCATTAGAGGGCACAGGGACACCAAAGAAGGGGAGGATGGAGTTTCTACCCAAGAGAGATTTCAAGTGAATTAGGAAGATCAAGATGGAGTGAGCTCTGGCTTAGCAGAGGCTAATAAAAAAATATAAGGCAGATGGGCCTTGCCCAAGTGACCTAATCTTTCAGGGCCTCGCTTTGCGTTCTCATTTATAAAGGAAGACCATGAGCCAAGTGATCTTATTTGGCTCCTCACTCCACTGCAGCTCAGTCTCTGCACTTCTCAGAAAGAAGGCCCGATGAAGCGAGTTTGGGAGTGCCTTCCTCATCTAACCCTAGACGGGGCTCTTGAACATGTTCAGAATTCCTTGGAATGTTCCACGGTCTAACAGTGACTTCCCCAAAAGAAGTGGAAACCTGTTTCCACAACAATCTGTTATGTTTCCACAACAAACATAAATGTTCAGGGCAGCACTTGTCCTAAGAGCCAACAAGTGTTAAAAAAAAAAAAGGCAAATGCACATTAGCTACTGAGAGGATAAACAAAATGTGGTCAAGAAAGTCTAATACTATTCAGCAACTGAAGAAATGAGTGCTACCACACAGCTGACCCTCAAAGCATTATGCTAAGTGGAGGAGCCAGACATGAAAGGCCCCATATTGTGTGACCCTATCTCGAGGAAATGTCCACAATAGGGAAATTCCAAGTACAGAAAGTGGATTCATGGTGGACATCAAACTCCCTGTAGGAGGCAAGTCACAGGCTGATGGCACGCAGGCTTTCTGCTTATACAAAATAGTTAAAAGTAATTTTTTTTAAGGGAGAAGATGCTCTTAATGCAGATTTAACAATGGTAAGCTTCTGTAAAATCCCCTGGATTTCTGGCTTCTCTGGGAAAATCAGAAGAGCTGATGAGCCAGGTCCACCTTCCCACATAGGAACAAGGGACTGCCGCTGAGAGGGGTTGCCATCTCAGAAAGGCACACTTTCCCCTGCCCACCACTTGGCCTCGAATTCCTGCCAGCCACCTGTACGGATTGGACCAGCAATCTCGCTGAAGCAGAGACAAAGGAGATTTCTTCAGAGAGCTTAGCACCTTTGTGGGTGACACCTAAAAAAGTGGGTATGTATGTGTACCCAATTCTCCAGGAGTCTCTGTGGATACAGACCCCAAATCCCTGTCCTTTCTTCGCTGCTCATTCTTTGGAGATGAAAGGGTCTTCCCCCCAGCCTCACCTGCCCACTCCAGCATGTTTTCAATATTCTCTGCTGCCCCAGGCACAAGGCGCGTCTGATCCGTGTCCTCCAGCCTCAGAATGAAGCTCCCTCGGTGTTTCTTGGCAAAGATGTAATTGTACAAGGCAGTGCGGAGGCCGCCCAGGTGCAAGGAGCCTGATGGGTGAAGGGCACAGAGACAGGGCGGATGAGCTGGCAGGCCTCAGGCAGCTGAGGGCAAAGTGATACTGCTTACAACAGAAGACCCCAGTGCATTCCAAAGCTGAGGAAGGGCTGGGCCTTCCCCTTCGCTGGCCAGCAGCCAGTCAGATCACCAAAGAGAAGCCAAGCCAAGCGGTTGACTCTTTCAGCCCTCATCTGGAAGTGAAGGGCCACCTTGTGTTTGGGGTGTGACACTTTGCAAAAAAAGGCTCCAACTTTCCCAAAGGGCACCAGTCACTGGACTGTGACATCAGGAAGGCACTGAGAGCCGTATGCTCCTCAAGGCAAAGTTCCCCTGGACTCTGGAGCAGCAGAGGGGCACTTAGAAACCCTAGCACATCACGTGGCCACTTCGCACGGCAACGCAATAACGTGCTCTGAGCAAAAGAACACGTTACATATGTTCTCTATGCACTGTCTGTGATGACCACCTTCGACATTTAGGTGCATGGGCCACTGTAGGTTATTGTATAAACTTAAAAATGTATTTTATTGTCTTTACGGGCAAAAAAAAAATTTTTGTACAGTCAAAATTAACTTCCAGCAAATTAACTTCTCCTTAACAATTACTATCCAAATTGTTCAAAGATGCCCCGGTGGCACAGCGAGTTAAGTGGTAGACTACAAAAGAAAAGTTAGAACCCACCAGCAGAAGCACTTTACTCCTATACAATTTACAGTCGTGGACACCCTTGGGAGAAGTCCTATTTTGTTTTATAAGATCACTATGAGCCCATATTTATACAATGACAGGGGGTTAGGCTACACAAACTCTTCAGTGACATTGGTTATATTTTTCACAATGTGTCAAATTTTTTATTGATTTCATCCTAAAGGTTTATTTTCCAGTAATCTGGTTTCCCTGTCCCCATTTTTTTTCTTTTAAAATCATTTTATTGGGGGCTTGTACAACTCTTACCATAATCCATACATCCATCATGTCAAGCACATTTGTACATTTGTTGCCATCATCATTCTCAAAACATTTCCTTTCTATTTGAGCCCTTGGTATCGGCTCCTCGTTTTTCCCCTTCCTCCCCACTCCACACTCCCTCCTCCCCTTACTCTTTCATTTTGGGTCTCATATAGATGATCCTTTTTGAAAACATACAGGGTTTATTCCATCAGTTAATCTATGTGCACATGGGAGGTCGCTCTGCTTTAAGAATAACAGCAGAACTCCACGTGGGGCACTTACAATGAGGTCCTTGTTTTAAAGACTATGGTTAAGACACACACATCATAATACTTGCCAATACGCCAAATTCCACTTGATAATTCAATGTTACCGATTAGTTATTACAAATCATGATCAAAGTACAGCTTCTAGTAATTTCAGCTATTGTGATTGCTTGATAAATCTCTTTATCTGTCTGTAGTCAGTAGTAGCCTTCCCCTGCAAATCACCAAGGAACGGAGAATAAAAATTAAAATACCAAGGCTTTGATAAATTGAATATGTTGGGTAAGTGTTGGACTTTGAACGGCAAGGTTGGTGGTTCAAATACACCAGGCATCCACCCTAGGGACAAGCAGATCTTGTCAACTTCCATAAAGATTTACATAGCCGGCTCAAAAAGCATTACTAGCACATAGAAATAGATGTAATTGTGATTATACTGGATTGACCTCCCTCTTGACCCAACCTGAAATTCTTCTAGGTGCAAGTATTTCTTGCTTGTTCCATGACAAAAATTTCTTCCCTGGGCTTTAAAATGTTCCTGGTGGGCTTTTCTTTCTTATTCATTATTTGCTTTTGTATTCCTGTATTATGATTGTATCCTTACCACTTTGTTTTCTATTGTTTCTGGTGGGTTTTCCAGTTTGTGAAGCACAGGAGTAGATAGATGCATAGAGATAAGAGCTGATACAAGGGTTTATAGGGCAGGTAGGGGTGTTGGGTGGGAGATAGGAAGGGTGAGGAGGTTGGGGGGAGCAAACATGTATGCGGGAAGGGAGAGAGCACTAGAAGTGATGGTGATTACACAACTCATTTAAAAGCAATTTAACCATGGGGGGGCGTTTTCTAAAATTGATTGTGGTAATGATTGAACTATTGAATTGTGTGCTATGTGGACGAAGTGCCAATAAAAAATAAAACTGCTAAAAAATTTTTCACAAGCCTCAGAATCCTTATACAGATTGCAATGGGTCAGGATCAACTCAACAGCAGTGGAATTTGGGCTTTATGTGTGCCAGGAGCCCTGGTGACATTGTCGGTTAAGAATTGGAATTCTACCAATAAGGTAGTGGTTCAGATCCACTAGCCCTTCTGTAGTAAAAAGATGAGGCTATCTGTTCCCATAAAGTTTTACAAAACCTTGGAAATCCTGTATATGGTCGCTATGAATTGGAATTGACTTGTCAGCAACGGGTTTGTTTCTGGTATATAACAAAGTGTTAGGTAGTTTTCCCATAGTACACAACTAGGAATTGGCAAAGCTGGGTATTTGAAATGCAACTCAACACGTCCGTGCACAGAGCATTGCTGGTTTACCAAGCCCTGAGCAAGCATGGAAATTGAGTGTTTATATATGTCTAGAGCAATTCTGACACAGTAATTTTGAATCTGGGTCTGTTTTTGTTTTGTTTCTTAAGAATTTGTATTTTGTGTGACCGAATTTGGTTTTTCTAGTCATTTATAGAAATTTTACAAATGATCAATTAGATAATTACACACCACTGTCAATTAGAAATTACACGGCAATCCTTCGACACACAAAGATTGAGTAGCACGGCTCTGGAGTGGGCCACCTGCCAGCCAAGTGCCCATCTCCTGGTGCAGCCGAGATGTGGCCACGACAGTTGTCTTATAGAGGGCTCCTGGTTCAGAAATGAGGGGGCCTGGGTGGCATAGAGGCTATGCCCGGGTCTGCTAACCACAAGGTCTGAAACCATAAGCCCCTCCTCAGGGAGAAAGGAGAGGCTTTCCTGTAAAGAGTTTCAGCCAGGAAACCCAGAGGCAGTCGTCATAGCCTGTAGGGTCGCTATGAGTCAGAACTGACTCATTGGAAGGTGAGTGTAGTTTTTTTGGTTTAGAATGTGAGGCAGGTAAGGTGAGGAGCATGTAGAATGGAGAAAAGGGTTTAGGGAACTGGTTGGAAGGCGATGGCTCATTCTCTCTGACCTCTGCTTTCACCTTCCTGGCTTGCTAAAGGCCCATGTTCATCTCAGGGCCTTTGTACCTACATGTGCTTCTTGTCACGAGGTGCTCGGCTCTAATGTCACCTCCCCAACAAAGCCTTCTTGAGCATCCTTCGTAACCCCACCTCGGCTTCATTTACCGCACAGCATACGTGACTCCAAAAGTACATTTATTTCTGTACTACAATGCAGGCTTCTAGAGTGGTTCGAAGGTTCTAGATGACCACTGTATCTCAGCGCCTAGGGCTTGTCACAGTCTGTGCGTTAAAACACATTTATTTACTACAGGAAAAAAATGAAGTGCCCTAGCCGCTCCCTGGGAGAAAGAGGAGAAGAAGAAAAAAGGCAGAGATCGAAAGAGATGGTACAGAACATACACACACACACACACAAAATCGGGCAAGAAGAACGAACTACACACACCTACACACACACACACACACACACACACACACAAATTCAGGCAAGGAGAACGAGCTCCGCCCAAGGGCTTCAATCTCAGTCTAACGGGTCCCGTGGCCCCGCCAATCCGCCCCCC